TGATTTTCTTGATGCGAACTCAGCTGTTCTCACCATTGGAGGAGCTCAGGTCCTTGCTGTCACTGAGGATGGCTGGGGTCCTTTTTGGGTGTCACTTCTTGGCTCCAGTGCAGATCCCTGTTTGTTGGCACAGATTTTCATCCTGCTGGCACAGACTTTCTAGCTTCCACCACTGACCTTTGGGTCTTCCCAGTGCAGTTCCCTGATACAGACTTGCATGAGACATTATCATGGGGTCTAGACAGACTTATGGAGGATGTTGCCATGGACTCTAGGTCTTCAGCTGGACTTTCACAGGACATTGCTGTGGGATCCAGATGTTTATCTGGATTCACAGGGTCTGTAGTATGTATACAGATCTCTTGCACTCCTCTGCATTTGACACTTGGGGTGAATATTGTAAAATGACCCTATAAATCATGTGTCCCATGTTAAATCTCTTTCTTTGCAAACCTGAGTACAGCATGAGTTTGGGGAGGTGATTAGATTACAAGAGTTCAGCCTTCACAAGTGGGATGCATGCCCTTAATGAAGAGATTTGAGAGAGCTTGCTGTCCGCTCCTGTCCTGTGAGGGCACAGCCCGGAGACATATCGGGGACCAGGAAATGGGCCTGTAACAGAACCGCATCTACAGGTGCTTTGATTTTGGACTTCCATCCTCCAGAACTGGATAAGCAAATCCTTGTCATTTGCAAATTAGGCATTTTAAGGTGCTTTGTTGTAGCAATCCTCACAGGTTAGGATCAGCTAATGTGTGGCTGAATTAATGCTAGTGTCTAAAGGATGAAAGACGAATGAGGAAGGACCAGAATTTCAACTTGTTCCAAGAGGCATCTTCCCTTCTGTAAGTTCTTCTGTTCAGTTGTTTTCCTTAACAGAGCTATGGTTTTCCCCTGTTCTTTCCAAGGGATCCCAGAACTCAACCTACAGAACCAGAGGATGAGGGTTTACACTGAAGGAATATCTCATGTTTTCATCATAAGGTTGATGTATAGTGACCGAGAATGTAAGGTTCTCATACACAGTGAAGGCAGTTTGAGAGACTGGAAGTTGATTTCTTCCCTTCCCAGCAGGACTGGTGCATATTTTCTCAGTTTGTGCCCCATCAGAGCACTCCAGAGAAGGGAGACAGGGCAGATGATGGTGGGTCCAAGTGCAGGTTGCAGGTGGATCCGGGGAGCGAGGAAGGATCTCAGCTCTGCCTTCACTTGCATTTAAATTGCTTAATTTCCCCGAAGCAGAGCTCCTGTCAATCAGAGATAATCAATAGTAACGTACAGTATGCTACGAAGGCATAGTATGAGACCATGCTCATGAAAACAACCTGAGAATCACAAATGTAAACCAACCAGAACACCCTGGAGTTGTAGCCCTGAGCAGACCTCTGCAATGTTCCTACTGTATGTTTATACTCTTCTGATTTTGAACTTCAGTAGGAATAGTGCTTTTATGTTCTATGTCTAGATGCTTCTAATTAGCATATACAGAGATGGATAGAGGGATCTAGATAGACAGTAACTTCTCTCATATTAAATTATATATATTGTTTGGCTTTTTTATGCATGTGGGCCACACAGTCTCAGTGGGTATTTTCTTTTCTGTTATGCAAATTTTGTTACTCATTTTTAGGCAACATTAAAACCATATCATTATATACTAATGTACCTTAATGTTTTGAAATGCCCTGGGAAGTTGATGCTAACAAACTAGGATATAGATGCATGTGTTTAGAGGAGAATTTTTATTATGGACAAGGGATGATATTGATGAAAGCAAACTATGCCTCAATAATGACCCGATGAAAGCTAAAACAAATACTTCCTGGGTGCTGAGAGAACTGAATGCCTATGTGTGAAAACCATGCACACAGTGAGCTCCTCTGTCCCTGTCTCTGTCTCTGTCTCTGTCTCTGTCTCTGTCTCTGTCTCTCTCTTTCTCTCACCCCCCCCACACACATACCCTTAACCTCTAAATCCATATGTAATTAAGTCTCCTTAAGCAGTCCGTGCTTGATAAAGAAGAAGCCATACCCCGACCCAGGGAATGTGGAAGACCAGGGGACACAGTCTTTCCTCAAAGAAATATTTCTCATGAACCAGAGCAGAAAAGCCATCTCTTCATGGTTAGAACCTGACAGTTGTTTCCAGCCACCAGAAGACAGTGCCGTGGAAATGAGAGCCACCAATACTGAAGTCCACAGACCCCAGGTCACTCCTTTCTCCCATAGTGAGGTACATTTATTCCTCAAATGTTGCTTCGTACTGTCCTCGTGGGCGGTCTTTTCTGTCCCGTGTTACAATATTGTCAACTTTTGCACTGTGTATGCCTCACCTTCATGCCTTCCCCAGGTCCTCCAAGGTCTCTGCTTGGTTCAGGGATGCAGATTCTGTGGTGATCTCTACGTGTGCTGATGGGACAAAGTTACATATCCCTAGGTGTGTCTGGAAGGGGGTTATGTGGGGGTCACAGAGGGCTGTAAGCCATGATCACCTGATTTATAGCAAGTGGACAGTTCTCCATCATCTGGGTGAGCCTGACTCAATGTGCTGAGAGGATTTAAACACAGGGTTGGGTCTGTTGGAAAGAATTTTGGTGCAAACTTCTGTTAGCACAGAGTTTGAAGCTGCTCAATCAGTTTTTAGTAAAAAATAAATCTTGTAATATCTTTTTCCTCTTGCATCTTCCTTCTGGTATAGCTCTGACTCACATGATTCTCATTTCAGAAATGCAAAGAAAGACCTGGCTCTCAAATGCCTGGTACTGAATGGACTTTTTCTGTGATGAGAACATGGACTTAGGGTTGCTCTCTGAACTTTGAAAGCTGCCTCTGACAAAAATGGCCACAGCCATGGTGACAACTCAGTTTGGAGAGGATTCAGGGCATGACTTTAGAGAACTGGTCTCCAGCTCACATGTTTCTGCCCACTGAGGGGCTCCTGAGCTTCTGAGCTTTGCTCCCAGCATAGAAGGTCTGGATTCTCTCCCCAGATTCTCAGTGCTGTGCCTGTGACTTGGAGACTGCTGATCCATGCCACCCACTTTGAGTAGAAGGAATGTAAGGCAAAACAAATGGTGGAACAAAGTGTCCAGAAAGCCCTTCTTGAGAACCATGGATCAGGGAAAGGGATAAGCCCATGGTGTGAGTGATGTTCAGAATCTGCAGACATTTGCACTGGTGCAACACCGACATTTTCCTGTTGAGATACTGGGTAGGGATTAAATTCAGGGCTTTGTGCTTCCCTACATCCCAAACCTTTTTGTGTAATCATTTATTTATTTTATTTTGAGGCAGGTGCACCTGTTTCTACTTTGCCCAGGCTGGGCTAGAACATAGGATCCTCCTGCCCCAGAGTCACAGAGTGGATGGGACCACAAGTACCTTGAGCAGAGAAACTCCAGTAGAGAGGAACCCAGAGCTGAGCTAGATGGTGGGACCCAGGGTTTTGTATTTCCTTTCTTAGCATCTCTGCTTCTTGGGCTCTTCCCGGAACACTTGAGAAAGTTCACAGATACCCTGAAAGCACAGAGGGACCAGCAAAACTCTGGAGCAGGAGACAAGCTTTGAAGCTGAGTTTACAGGGGCTAGAACTCTCCGACTCTGGACTCATCTCCCAGCTGGGGAGAGGAAGGGACATCCGGGGCTTTCCCAGCAGGATGAGCATGGTTCTGCTCATAAACGTACCTGCTATACACCAGCGGGGCAGCCTCGGATGACCTAGGGGACAGGAAGGAAACTTGAACATTTCCTCAGTACCCACCATTCCTCCTCACCATGAAGAACATAAGCAAATTTACACATGAAAAGGATATGAATTTAAACAATTAATGGAGCTTTCTTGGGACTGTAATTCAAGGATGTTATGAGTTGCAAGTGCTTTCCTCATTGGTCTCCCATTCTAATCAATATTATTACTCCAGACAAGTGGTAAAAATAAGCTTTGGAGCCCAGCCTCATTATCTAGACTTTGAATTGTAAACATTACTGAATAAATCTACCTAAAAATGAATTTGAACAAGAATTCTGGTTCTGGGAATGGCAAAGAGGACTATTTTGAAAGAGCCTGGCCACAGATGATGAGCAGAACTATATAAAATGCTTTCAGAGAAAATATGCATTATGAGCTTGTAAAACCATGAAGAATTAAACACTGAAAATCTGGGATGAATGTGAAATTACACTCTTTTTGCAGTCTCTCCCTTCAAAGCCACTGCTTTGAGTGTATGTGTTGGGCGCCCAGAAATGGTGTGAGATTTCAGAACAACCCACTCACCAGCACATAAAAACACAGAAGCCTAGAACCTGTCGCTAAGATGGGGTTGTCCTGGTGAATATTTAGGAGTCATCCTAAGTGTGGTGGTGACCCAGAAGCAGAGCTCTGGCTCCTCAGGACCAGATGGTAGTAGTACAATTCCCTCTTTAGGTTTAATCATGCTATGGAGCTCCCAATACATAAAAGTTAGGAGAATTGGGCCAGGGATTTAACTCAGTGGCTTAAGGGTCTGTCTGGCAAGCTTGAGGTTGTGAGTTGGATCCCCAACCCCTCAAAAAAGGTTAAGAGAATTAAAAAGCGAAATGCATAAAAGCAACCACTATGGGATTATTAATCTATTATCAGCTAATGGATTATGTAGATAAAATAATCAATGGGAAATAAAATATTGGAACAAAATTGAAAATGAGTTCAGTTGACCTAAATGAAACAGTGAACTCAAGGCTTCGGAAAGCAGATTCTAAGTCCATCTGGTGAGGTGCCTGAAGGGTCCTGTTGGCTGTGCAGCCAAATAAGAAGTCTTACTGGCCACCCAGTCCAAGAGCTTTCATGTGTCCCTGTCTTTTATTTAGTAAATTATTTTGTGCTAAGAACATAGTAAGAGATAAAGATAGGCTTTTCTAAGAACATGAATTCTAGTAGGCCTGACCTACTATATGTCCAATACGAGGTTATGTTCTCTAAAACCAAAGAATGAATTTTAGGAACAACAGAAGTTAACAGCAGAATTTATTTATTGAGAGAAAGAAAACTGTCTGAGAGCGACAGAAAGGGTCCCAAGTGGGTTGCTAGGGACTCTGCCTTTTCTAGGGACTTTTATAGGGTAAAATCATGAGGTTAGATGGTTCAAAGGTTGGGAAAATGGGAACTCACAAGGTGGGCATAAAGTGGGACAGAACTGTGGTAAACCAATAAGATTAATTGCTCAGATAAAATTGATTAAATTAGGAGCAAACAGGGGAGCGAGTCACATAGTAAGCGGCATGCTGAATAGCACTGACCCTTCCTGTAGCGGGGTGGGATGCTGACTCCTGGCTTCTCAAGGTGGAGAGATCTATCCAGACTGTGAATCTTTAGGATGTAGGTATATTTGCTTTGCCTCTTCTCTTGTGATCTGGCCCACAGCAGGAGGTGATTGTCTCTTCCAAAGCTGCAAGTTATCTGAATTCGTGCTCTGGTTCCTTTGAGGGCCCAACACTGTCTGACTGCCTGTAATATTTCTAAATAACTCAGCTGCCTGTGACACTATCAGGCATAATGGTGAAAACAAGTGGGACCTCCCCACTGATAATTAAAAACATGCTGCCATTCATATCATATTTTCAAGAGATTTTATGCTACTAGAATATGCTCACAATCAAGAAAAGAAGAGATAAAATATTAAATCCCCATTGCATTGAATAATTTATCTAGACAGTATCCCCCCAATCTCACCTGTGACTGACAAATCCTGGGTATCAGTCTTGTGAAGACACTGTCAGAAGGAAGCAGCTTCCTTGTTTCTCTCACAGAACAAGGTTCCTCCTGTTCCCCTTCTTGAATCAGAGTAACTTCTATGAGTGAGTCCTTGATACTGACAGGCCGTGAAGCCTGGTCCTAACTGTAATTTGAGGTACAGTGGGGTCTCCAAATCTTACAAGGCTCTTCCTATACTAGATTTGAGAGCATCATTTATTCACCTTTTTTTCTGATTTAAAAAGACAGAAAGTTCATAGTCCAAATCCTTAATGTTCACCCTGAAGTCCAAAGCTGTTATCCACCAGCGAACTCTGTCATATACTGGTCCCAAGGTGCCTAATAAGTGGAGTTCGCTTATCCCAGACACACAGGGTATTCAACCGTCTTCTCATCTCTCAGTTCATCATTGAAAGTGTGTCCTGCTGCTCTTTGTAGATTTTCTGGGACTTTATCATTCATCCATGTTGCTCTCCACTGCTTTCCTGTAGCCCCTTGCTCTACCCAGGGTCGCTCACTCTCTTGGAAACAGCACCACCAGCCCTGAGTCTCCGTGACAGCCAGCAGGGAAGCACTTACCCCGGCCACTCTCCCTGCTCAGGATTGTTATCATCATAAAATATCATCACCTTGCTTTTCATAAAACACCCACCAGAAGGAAACACCCATGGTGGGACATTTGAAAATGTTCTTTCAAGCAAACCCCAGAAGAAACAAACCCAGAGGAGGATTATCTTGAATAATGAACACAAACCTTGAGGAGAAACTGAAGAACCCAAAGTTCTGTAGATGTGAAGTGACTGTTTACATTTATTTCTTTTCCTGTGTGTAATCTTTCATCTTTCTTGCCAAACAAGTGAACACATTAGCAAGTCTATTCCTCCTGCTTCACTCAGGAAGTACTATTTATAATTGTCACTTAAATTAGCATACCCATCAGCACCTAGAGGACAAACAACACGGGACACGGAAATGAAACATCCTGCCTCTAATAGGCTGGTTTTTATGGGGAGGCTGGAGGAGGCGAGACAGAAGAATCCTTACCGCTTTCCACAGACAGTCATGAAAAGACCTTATATTAATGGCTGTTAAATCTCTTCTTAACACAGAGTCGGGTCCAAATTAGATGGTTGCATGGAACAGTTTCTGCTTTTGTGCCCCTTGCATCTTTTTTGGTTCATAAAATAATCCAAAATCCCAAAAATGTTGGGCTATAATGCTATACAGTAAAAAATTAGCAGCCAAATTTGCAAATTCTTTCTGGCTCCAGAATATCTGTGTTAGCCTCATTGTGTGGGTGGTGGTGGGGCTGCTGTCTGAGTGGTGTTATAGTCTGTTAAGTGAGGCAGTGCCCTCTGTGGAGTTGCCTGCTGACACTTCAAAACGACATGGCCATTGTTCAGAAATTCAAAACCAAAGAAACAGAGAATGAGTTCTTTTAAAAGTCAAATATAAATCCATTTCACATGCCTCCTTTGAAGTTGTATTGTTCTGAAACCTACAAAAGGAAAATTAAAGAGAAGCAAAAGAAAAAAACGATGAAGGGGAAAAAGCAGAAAGCTTTTAACAGATGCAAATCACACACACACACACACACACACCTTACTTACCATCCAGGAACTGTGAGATGGACTCTACATTGGATGTACCCAAGAAGGCTAGGATAAAGTCACCTCGAAAGACATGGGGATAAGAGGGTGGGCCTGAAGGAGGAATACTTGTGCTTTCTGTATTGGTTGAGGTTCATAACTGGAAAGATTTGTTCATAAGCCAGACATGGTCATGCCTGCAGATCAGCCAACCTGGCTTCTACAGTCAGAGTGTGAACATGGATTTGGCAATGTTTTGCAGTCTTCTGGGGCCTGTGTCTGTCCAGTGACTAACTTTTCTTCCTCCTCTGGCCCTTCTAATTAAATTTAGCACTTTTCAGATTTTTTTACTTTGTATGTTTGTTTATCCAATTCCTCTGTGGAGTTTGATTAAGTTAATAACATGGTGGTCGACATATTTTTTTTCACTGAACAGCTGGCTTCTTAACTTCTCCCTCAACTTCATTGATTCTTATGTCAGTCAGTTTTCTCTCACTGTGACAAAATACCTGAGATAATGAACTTATTGTCAGGAAATCATTAATTTTGGCTCCCAGTTTAGGGGGCATCATTCCATAGCCCTTGCCCACTGCTTGTGGTGAGGCAGTGTGTTTTGGGGGGAAGCTCCTCCCCCATGACAGCTAGGATGTGGAAGGAAGAAAAGCAGGGCCAGGCACCAGGGTTCCCTTCCAGGGCTCCCAGTGACCTAACTTCCTCCCCTTAGGTCCCACCCCTTAAAGGTTCCTCCCTGCTCACTAGTGCTCTGGGCAGGGGACCAAAGTTCCTCCCTTCCCACCAGTGCTATGGGCAGGGGTGCCCGATTTTTAAGATTTGTAACATATGGGCTTCTCCAAACCAGCACAGTGACTCAGAGAGATCTCCCTTAACCCGTCCATCCAGCTGGTCAGCAGGCCTGATTCTTTCTGCTACCTTGCAACCTCCGTGTTCATGCTGTGTCTAAGTCAAATAACACAGGGCTTATCAGAAGGTCAGCTACAAAAAACTCACCAGGAGTCTGAGATGAGGTTTTAGGTGTGAAACTGAATAAAAACCTTCAAGAAGAACAAAAACTAAAGGAAAAGAGGTGATCAAAATCTCCATTAAACACGGGTCATGTTCTGTTTTCCTTTGTGACGTTTGCAAACTCTGAGGTCTGTCCCACCAGGCTTTACTTAGCCCGCCTGGAGAAGTCTCCTTGGCCAGGTCTCAGCATGCTCTGGGGTCACCCTTGGCTTCACAGAACAGTCTCTCTCTCTCTCCCTCTATTGTATATTTACCTACTCAGTTTTGTGGGAAGAAAAAAACTTATTACTTGCAGGAATGTGTAGTGAGCCTTGTATGGTTTCAAAGCTACAATCAGAAATTTTATGAGCATACAATGAGAGGAGATTTTACTTAATGAGACCTGCCGGAAAATAAACTCTGAACTGTTGCATTGCAAAGCTGGTATTTTTGAAAATAAAACACGCAAACTCATCCTGTTCTTTGTGAATTATCTGCTGAGCTGGATCCTGCTAGGCATTAGGGACAGGCAGGAAAACACTGGCTTGCTCAGTTTTCAGTGTAAAGGTACAGGAGCAGTAGCCTCAGCTGGAGGCCCGTGCAGCTCGGGAGCAGAGCCACTGGCGGGAATGTTAGGGATGTGGTTATACTCTTACCAAACCTGGATGTTTTACAGGCTTTAAAAAATCATCTGCTCTCTTGTTCGTGTTAATCAGCTCTGTTGATCTGTTCTCTTTCATGGACTCTGGCAGAGTTCAGGAAATATCACCCGACACACATCGCTTCTTGTGCTGACTTGGAACCGAGGGTGGGAGGGGGAGCAGGTGGAAGTTTGCTCTGAGCATCCTTTATCGGCTTGAATTCCCCTCTCCAAAAGAGCTCATGCGTCATGACCTTCTCCTCGAGGAACCTTCTCCACCAGAGAGGAAACTGGATGTTTACATCTTTCGGAGACAGGTATCTGTCACCTTCTTCTCTAAGACAAACTTAGTGCCCCATGCGTTTTCCCTTTGACCTGAAGCTTGTGTCTCCACCGCCCAGAAGCCCAAAGCCCTGATTTCTGGGTTCCGGATGCTGCATGTACTTTAGTAATCTGTAGGGGAGATCACTGCTGCCTACCTAGCATTGTACTCATCCTGTAATCGAATACTTTCTGGGACACTCGTGCATATGTGATTAAAAGTATTTTTGCTGCTGGTACTCTGTGTCTTGCCAATTTAATGTGCATCCCAGCTGAAGAATTGAAGGACAGAGGGAACCATTTTCATTCCCTCCAGCCTGTTTCTTTCTTATCTCTTTCTGATAGTGTGTGCAACCAATCAGTATGTCAGTATTTTCCCCTAAAGGCAGAGGCCTTTATGTCTCCCCCTTTCTTTCCTTTTTCTCCTTCTCATCCTCTCCCCCTTTTCTCCTTCTTCTTGCTTTTCTCCTGGGCCTCTTCCTCTTTATTCTCTTTTCCTCTTTCTTCTTCCTCCTCCTTCTATTGTTCAGTTCTATTTTATCTGATTCGTTTTTATATCTTATTCCTTTGCTGAAGCTTTCCCCTTCCCATTTGTTTCAAAATTATTTGCAATGACCTCGTCAAACATTTTTTATGACAACTGCTAAAGTCTTTGTCAGACACAACTGTGCCTCATTTTTCATATCTGTAGCATCTTTTACTTACACGCAAATATTTGGGGTGCACTTTGGGCATTTTAATACTGCTTTAAATCTTGTTCAAATACAACAGAGAATGTCAATTAGTAATTCTTTTTTCCAGCTGGTAAACAACTTATATTCAGGTGTGTTAGCATTAGCTACAAACTCAGACCTGCATTTAGTGGTCTCTAGTTCCAGGGTCACCTCATTTTTCAAATTCTTAGCAATTTGGGTCTTTTTCTTTCTTTCCTCTTTCCTTCTTTATTTTTCTTGGTGATGGGTCTAGGAATTGAAGTAGGATCTTCACATTCACAGCCTACTTATTTATTTATTCTTTTCAGACAGAGTCTGACACAGGCGCTAAGCTGCCCGGCCTGAGCCAAACTTGCTATCCCCCTGCCTCAGCCTCCCGCAAGGCTGAGATCACAGGTCGTGCCCTGATGGCCAGCGCCTGTCCCTTCTGTGAGCCTCTCAGTGCCCAGGCTGGGCTTTGGACGCTGTCTCCTCCTTTTCTGTGTGCTGAAGCACGGCGGATCTCACCTGAGCTCCTCGCTGGCATCCACACACAGCTCCCTGTGTCTGCTCTGCTCTGCAGGGCTCCTGCCTCCATCCTGGCTCAGCTGCCCTGGCCTTCACAGCTTCCTCCTTCCTGTTGTCTATGCGGGAAGGTAGGAATTTGGTTCTCTTCTTTATGGGGCGGAGATGGTGCTGGAGGCCCAGAACCAGTGACCCTAGGAGAGCGAGAGGCTGGAAGTCAGAGTGGTCCAGGCCTCCAGGACTGGAGCCTTCCTGGCTGGAGACCGCAGAGTGCCAGGTTCCAGTGTGGTTACCGTCAGCGGCTGGCCTGGGGCACCAAGCCAGGAGAATTAAAAGCAAAGTTAAACCATGGCAAAAAGAGCACTAACAACCAGATGCTACCCCCATCCCCCACCTCCAAGCAGGAGGACTCCTCCCTGCTCTGGTCAGCCTGGAAGGGGCTGTTTCCAGTGCTTCAAGGGATGACTCAGGTGAGAGCAAGGAAAAGCAAACCCCAGCACTGCTGGCCATGTAGCCGGTCCTTTAGCTCCTGGCCCTGCCCCTCAGTCACTGAGGCTAGCACTTCTGAACCCTGAAACGCCCGGCCCTTGGACTCTGCCAGTTTCTCCTACTGCATCCATTCTTCCTCATCCTTCCACGGTTCCCTTGCCCCAGCATTTCTTGGCTACAAACTCTGGAGTTCAATTTTGCTGTATCAATAAATGCTGAGAATGCCTATGGGACACCTGCCGTGGTCAAGGTTATATCACGGTGTGAGTCGTCAAGCCATGACAGACCGGCACGCCCTGTCTGTCCGGAGCCTGCTTCCTCATGAAGTGGGGTGACAGGAATCCTCGCAGCTTGTGCAGTCACCAGGAGCTGCAGCAAAACAACTCAAAGAAAAACTTCAGCCGGGAGAGAAGGAAGCGCTGCCCTGGAGCCACACATACATACTGAGATCCTGCCTCAAAAATATTGCCTAGACAAAATGGACACGCTGCTTGATATTCTTGCATATTGCAACTGTGTTACTAGTAAGAGGGAATGCGAAACACAAGTCAACCGGCAGGCAGGCAGTTCCAGAGAACACTCTGGTATCGGGGCAGAATGAAATGTGCATGGCTCCCTGTAAAACCACAAAGATGAAGAAAATGCTCAAGTATTGTCAAGTGGGTAGAGACCTCTGTGGTTTACTATTGTGGTTTTTATTTTCCCAGCACATCTTTGGAGGAATATTATACTTTGAGGATGACCAATTATATACTGATTTTTATTTACCTCATTACTCACAGCCCCACCTGATAATTAACAATATGCTGCCATTCATATCATATTTCAAGAGATTTCATGCTACTAGAATATGTTCACAATCAAGAAAAGAAGAGATAAAATATTAAATCCCCATTGCATTGAATAATTTATCTAGACAGTATCCCCCCAGTCTCACCTGTGACTGACAAATCCTGGGTATTCAGTCTTGTGAAGACACTGTCAGAAGAAAGCAGCTTCCTTGTTTCTCACACAGAACAAGATTCCTTCTGTTCCCCTTCTTGAATCAGAGTAACTTCTATGAGTGAGTCCTTGATACTGACAGGCCCTGAAGCCTGGTCCTAACTGTAAATATTCAGGTGTGTTAGGATTAACTACAAACTCAGACCTGCATTTAGTGGTCTCTAGTTCCAAAGTCATCTCATTTTTCAAATTCTTAACAATTTTCTTTCTTTCCTCTTTCCTTCTTTATTTTTCTTGGTGATGGGTCTAGGAATTGAAGTAGGATCTTCACATTCACAGCCTATTTATTTATTTATTTATTTATTCTTTTCAGACAGAGTCTGACACAGGTACTAAGCTGCCCGGCCTGAGCCAAACTTGCTATCCCCTGACTCAGCCTCCCGTAAGGCTGAAATCACAGGTTGCACCCTGATGGCCAGTGCCTGTCCCTTCTGTGAACCTCTCAGTGCCCAGGCTGGGCTTTGGATGCTGTCTCCTGCTTTTCAGTGTGCTGAAGCCCCCCAGATCTCAGCTGGGCTCCTCGCTGGCATCCACACGCAGCTCCCTGTGTCTGCTCTGCTCTGCAGGCTCCTGCTTCCATCCTGGTGCAAGGGTCCTGGCCTTCTTGTTGTCTATGCAGGAAGGCAGGAATTTGGTTCTCTTCTTTATGGGGCGGAGATGGTGCCTGAGGCCCGGAACCAGTGATCCTAGGAGAGCGAGAGACTGGAAGTCAGAGTGGTCCAGGCCTCCAGGACTGGAGCCTTCCTGGCTGGAGACTGCAGAGTGCTGGGTTCCTGTGCGGTTACCATCAGCGGCTGGCCTGGGGCACCAAGCCAGGAGAATTAAAAGCAAAGGTCAACCATGGCAAAAAGAGCACTAACAACCGGATGCTACCCCCATCCCCCACCTCCAAGCAGGAGGACTCCTCCCTGCTCTGGTCAGCCTGGAAGGGGCTGCTTCCAGTGCTTCGAGGGATGAGTGAGGTGAGAGCAAGGAAAAGGCAAACCCCAGCACTGCTGGCCATGTAGCCGGTCCTTTAGCTCCTGGCCCTGCCCCTCAGTCACTGAGGCTAGCACTTCTGAACCCTGAAACGCCCGGCCCTTGGACTCTTCCAGGTTCTCCTACTGCATCCATTCCTCCTCATCCTTCCACGGTTCCCTTGCCCCACATTTCTTGGCTACAAACTCTGGAGTTCAATTTTGCTGTATCAATAAATGCTGAGAATGGCTATGGGACACCTGCCGTGGTCAAGGTTATATCACGGTGTGAGTCTTCAAGCCACGACAGACCGGCACGCCCTGTCTGTCCGGAGCCTGCTTCCTCATAAAGTGGGGTGACAGGAATCCTCGCAGCTTGTGCAGTCACCAGGCTCTGCAGCAAAACAACCCGAAGAGTAAACTTCAGCCGGGAGAGAAGAAAGCGCTGCCCTGGAGCCACACATTTCCACCATTGTGCTACTATTTACAACCTCAAAGACTTGACTTTACTTCGATTGTTTTTTTTTTTTTTCCTTTTTGTTACTTCAATGTATAAGAAAGAAGCTTTTATATTTAAGAGTTAAATCTGTCTAGCAGAACGATATTTTTGAGCAATAACTTTGCCCAGAGTGGTTTGTTTGGTAGAGACTCTTTTTATTCTGTTAACTTTAGTGATCGCATTCAATTTCCATTTGTGAGTAGAAAACATACAAACAAAACATGCGGAGGTACCGGACTGCTGTTAAGTTTCTATCTATAAACTCCTTCTATACCTCTCATGGCTTGGCTCTGTGGTCCTGTGTCTTACTAGTAAAATAGTCATTTTACCATTCCTCTTAAAGTTATGACTTATAAGTTTCTCCCCTAGACATTGTATTTTTTATAAACAGCATTTCCTGGCCTTTACTAATGCATCCAAGTCTCTAGCTAATACCTAAATGTTCACTTTGTTAAATACATTATTTTAATTCTAACTTTCATCAATAATCTTAATTATTCCTTTCTTTGCACAAAATTTCCTGTATATGCTGTTTCCAAGCAACTTGCTCACAAAAGAAATAATCTGCTCATTGTCTCTCAGGATGAAACAAAACAATTTTCTTGTCTAACATTTTCTATTTCTAAAAGAACACATTATCCGTCAATATTTGCATTAATATCATTTTGTTTTTCTGTTGTTGGGAAGAATGGATCTGGACGGAGCAGGAAGAGCATAAAATACATTATCTTTTTTTCCAGAAAAATATTATTGAACAGGACTTGAGCATTCTTCTTTTAAATCCCAAGTATGGTAACTCAAAAGATAATAAAATTAAAATTAAAAAAGGCTTTGCAAAACCTTCTATAACTTCTTTAGAGCACACATATAAAATATTTGTGATTTTCAAGTGGCAGCATCATCTACACAATTACAATAGTAATATTATTTCAAAGTTAAAGAGCCTATGCTTTGATTGAAAACCTCTTATTGCCATGAATACAAGGCATTTTAAACACAGCAAGAGACTGCAGTGTGGTATAGCTTAGAGTCTGGAATAAAATAAAACGGTTTTATACTAAAGCACATTCCACAAAGGGAGGGCTCAGAACCCGCAGGTTACTGTGTACTGAGTCTTGCTTCAAAACACAGGACGCTTTGGATGACTCTTTGCCTTTTGTGTTTCGTGTTTAAATAAGTGCTCGTATGTATTTCTCTCTGTGTATCATGGATATCGTTAGTGTGTTGCTTTCCCACTGTATCAGCTATTTTGTGCATACAGTTTGAAATGCTTACAGACCCTGGCGTGTGCAGTGTAACCAGCGTTATCTCCATTTTATCAGTAGGAGTAAAGGGAGTCCCAGAAATGGTTGAGACACACCTGCTTGTTATTACTGGAATGTGGGGAGAGGCTACCTCATATTTCTCCATGTGCAGCAATCTTTCCACAGTATTTTTTGACTACATAATTATTTGATTTATTCTACAGAGATACGAAATAAATTTAAATCGTCGGATATTATGTCAGTCATAAGGCTTCCGTTGTGTGGATAGTGTGAGTAACTTATTATTTAAAAAAAGAAAACCATAAAGCCTTTTAATAGTAATTTATGGAAGTAAATTTGTATTAGAAAAAAGGAGAAAATTGTGGGCTGTATCAGGGACGTCAGAGTAAAGGAGGTAAGAGCTGCTATCTACCAAGGGTATTGGTACAGAAGTGATAGACATTAGCTTTTTAAAATGCAAATTACATACAAGTAAAAGAATACTATATTTAACATATGAAACTGATTTTGAAGTCTCCATAGCAACTACTAAAATGTTCAGCATAAATTATGTGATTAAAGTTATCAAAGATAGCTTTTTTCAACCTAAGTAAATTCAAACCAGATGAAGATCTGATTCCTTTTCAGAGTTTCCTACCAAGTACACCTCTGGAAGATAATTAGAACAGCTTTTATCTGTGATAGGCAAGTCAGATTAATAACTTTAGAAATGAAGTCTATTCCTCTAATATAAGTGGAATCTAGGGCTAATCTCTGTATCAAAGAGCTATGCTTGCATTATTTTGGCAGCTTGAATTATTTTGATAGCACATGAATGATTATTCTACCCCAGAGAATTTAGGAACAGAAAATCCACATTTTGCTATACCATGGTGATAACCCAGGTGCCGTTAATCACACCCTTTACATTGCTTTCCTATATCGTGGTGTGTGTGTGTGGGGGGGTATGCTGACTTTATTCTTTGCATTATTTTCTATGATTAGTTTGCTCATGTTTAGTTGTGTTAACTGTATTTGCCTCGTATAACTTTACATACTAAGACTTTTGAAAGGCAACTGACTATATCACTCTAAAATATGCGGCTTTAATGTAAAGATTATTTTGAGCTGAAAGCATTTGAGAAGAAGATACAAGAAAAGTGATCTTACCCCAACTGCATGCCTAAAATCAGGACATACATTTATTAAAAAGTGACCCATTTCCATTTTCACCTGGAAAGACAGTGTCTTATTAAGAGAGGTGACTTTAGCCCCGTATTGGCTTGGAGACCTTCCCAATGAATCATGTGTAGCAAAACTTGCTGCTCTTAGAGAATCAAGGTTCTTTTCCTCATCTTACCATTTACCTAAAAATGTTTGGATGAAAATGCCATTAAAAATCTGTAATGATAGCTAGCTACCTTTTGAATAATTACTCCTGTGTGAGCATCTCTCATGTATGGAGTCCACCAAAAAATGTATATGCAATTCAGGAAAAGAAACCTTGTATAAATATTTTAATACTAAATTTATTGAGACATTACAAGAGCAATACAAATTATATCGGGCCAGTACAATTATAAGAGGTGCCCATGAGCTTCCATATATTTGTTAGTACGGTCCAACTGCTGCTTGGGTAACCTTGGTCAACGAGGTTACTGCCTGTGCATTTTCCATTTCTGTAAGAGAAAGCAGTGTACTGGTTTTCTGGGATCTCTAACATTCACTAGGACCCCCATATGAGGCTAACAGCATCTATCAAAAACACATCATACTGCTTTTGTTTTCCTGAAAAGTGCGTATTGTTTTTTGGTAGATTCTGTATATGTGAAATAATCATGTTAATGAAATTCTCTTGATTTTCTTCTTATTGTCATTTCTTTTATTGTCAGGGGTTTTATCAAAGGACTCAGAAGAACAGAAAGGAATTTTTATCCCTTCCCCTTCTACAGTTTGAGCTTAGTGTCAAATAAGAGTCTACAGTCTAATAAAATCACAGGTCCCTTATCAGGTCCTAGAGCATTGTTTGTAAAACACGTGAGGCTTGACCTTTTCAATGTCCAGCTTCATAACTGTGTGACATTTAATGCATAGTTTTGTGTGATTCATCCACCCACACAGCAGCTCACCACAACCTTTCAATCATCCTCTGGCGGTAGTTTTCAAAAAAGTTTCACCGATCTCTTAGATACCCAGCTGGACCATAGTGGTTGATTCTGATTGTCTAAAAATCTCGTGGCAGCACAAATAAAATTAAATGGCAGGGGATTTTACCACTGAATCCAAAATAGGTTGTATAAAATGAGCCAGAGCCAGGTATGGTAGTCCATGTGTGTAACTCCATCACTTGGGTTACTGAGGCAGGAGTATCCCCATGAATTCAAGGTCCGTCAGGAATATATACTGAGATCCTGCCTCAAAAATATTGCCTAGACAAAATGGACACGCTGCTTGATATTCTTGCATATTGCAACTGTGTTACTAGTAAGAGGGAATGCGAAACACAAGTCAACCGGCAGGCAGGCAGTTCCAGAGAACACTCTGGTATCGGGGCAGAATGAAATGTGCATGGCTCCCTGTAAAACCACAAAGATGAAGAAAATGCTCAAGTATTGTCAAGTGGGTAGAGACCTCTGTGGTTTACTATTGTGGTTTTTATTTTCCCAGCATATCTTTGGAGGAATATTATACTTTGAGGATGACCAATTATATACTGATTTTTATTTACCTCATTACTCACAGCCGTATAATTGCAAAAGCATTATTTTTTAAAGAGGATAAAACAAAACAGAACAGTAGAGAACAAAGCATATTAGAACAAAACAGTGCAAGCAGCATAAGATTTCAAGACAACAGGAAATCAACAATTGCTACCACAGTGTCTCCTGTTCTCCCCAAAAGAGTTGTCCATATCTTCACACACATTGAATTCAAACAAACAAACAAACAAACAAACAAATGGTATAAAACTGAACAAAAGAGTGGAAGC